ACAGCAGTACCATTGGCAATGTCTTCTAGGTGTTTTTAGGTACTGCTTGTATAAAGTTTCTTTACTATTTCTGATATTTCTTTGACATTCTTAAGATAGTCCCACAGAGACTTTAGATCCTTGTCACATTTTAGTAGTAGTAGAGCTCTTTGTGAAAGAGTTCGTCCAGGGAAGTATTAGCTATGTTTCCTATTACTGCCGCCAAGCACTAATGTGCACATTACTGCATTCCGGTTTTGAAGGGTGGTGGTGAAATTTACAGACTTGTAAACTTGTCCCATCACTCTGAGACCACGTCTCAGAGTGATGGGCGCAGTGGCAACGCCCCTCAGATTTTTGCGATTTAAAACCCTGAATGGCACTGCAACTGTCAAGGATAGGCGTGTTGCTTACCATTACACGCACAACTTGTTCTGTGGTTCTTCCATTCGATCCATAAAAAAAGAAATAAGAAACAGTATTGAATGACATGAAATGAAAATTGCCTTATATCTTGTGGACTCTGCTTTTTTTCAAAATCTATGAATGTTAATCAAAATATTTCCAAAATTCATATACAATCTTGTAATTGCCCTTGCGGACCCATCTCAAATTTCCACCATCTGTAATAGGTACAGGATCGGCTTTGGCATATTTGAATTTTTTTATCAGAAAAACCTTATTCTTGTCATACCTTAGATGCTAATAATTAAAAAGGTCCCATGTATCAGTAAACCATCTATTAGTCCTGATTTTATCTTCAATAATTGGTATTAGTTTCTTAAATAGAAGTTTATCTAGTAGATCTACAAATACAGGCAATAGTGAAATAGGTCTATATGTTAGAGTTCAGCTAGAAGGACACTTTAACAATTATGATTGCCTCATTAAATTTCCTAGATACAATCAAGTATCATTATTTATATTTCACAGCTTGAATTTGTAATTAGATTATTACTGGTTTATGCATATGTTTTTTCTTTAGTGAATAACAACTATGTAATAAATAATCTTGATCTTGATGAGTGCCTATCTTTTATTTGTTAGAGTTTTTTTTAATATACTTATGTATTTTCCCTTTTCAGTCCCAGTCTAATATATCCAACCAGTCCGTATCAATAAGCCATCTAACAGATATTCCACCATTGCCCGATCTTTCGGATCTGAAGATGAACCGAGGGTACCATCCCCCAACAATCTTACAACTGAACCGAACAAGACAACAGTTCAATCTACGCAGAAAAATGACTGAAACATTTGGCAAACCTTTATCAAAGTCATTCTTAATCACACCTATGCACAGAGGTCCACCTGAAGATTTTTTAAAGAGTGTAATATCTTGTCGTGTCAGTTCCTATGACCAAATGAGTGTCTCTCAGTTTAATAACACCATATCCAGTAATATTAGACCTGAGATTAAAGCAAATGAAACCCATTCTACAGGCTTTACAAAGCAACAACTTGATCGATTGCTTTCCACCAAAAAAAGCATTACGAAAAAGCACACTACAATGCGACATGACAAGATTAAGAAAAGGAATTTGTTCAATGAGTCTACAATGTCTACTTTTAATGGAAGCATTTGTTTGACCCGTAGTCGCTCGTCGCCAAATCTCCTTGAAGGTAAAGAAAAGACACGTGCACGACGGTTGTCTACAATGAAGGAGGATAGTCTATCTGTTCTAGAAGTTTCTGGAATAGTTGCTTTAAATCAGGATAGTAATCAGAGCACGCCAAAAGAGACTTGTAGTTTAGAAATTAGTAGAAAAGTGTCTGAGTTCAATAGCATGCCTTCTATAACTGTGGTGTCAAGTAAAACTTCCATCAATTCATCTAGCAAGACTTCTCTCAACGAAGGTGCAAGCAAGGACATTGATATGCAAGTTGAAGTTCCGAAAAGGATCAGTACAGAATTAAGTGAAGAGCCCAAATCAGAGACTCCCGCATCAAACGCACGGTTAATTAAAAAAACAGGATCATTAGAAAAAATCATTAACAGGTTTAAAAAGATTCGTGCTAGTGTGCTTCCTGAGGTAAACCTTGAAACTAAAGATTTCAAAACAATAGACGAAGAAAAAGAAAACTTAAACATGGTAAACTTAGAGTTGTTTAAGACAAACAGAAATTTGCTACCTGATTTACTTAGTCCAAGTTGTAGCACGATAACGCAGAGATCTAATGATAACTTCGAACATTGGTTTGATAGTGATGATGATGTGCCAAGAAGGCCGAGGGAGAGCCTTGGAACTGCGCTGGGCGTAGATCATACATTTTTAGATCAGTTTGATTTAGATTCAGACTGATATCGACTTTTGATTGTTATAGACGCGTACAAATGCGACGTTTCCAAATTCTCCTACTGGGTGCTCCCACTGGTAGTAAGCATGAGGATGGGTATGACCTTGTGCTCCTACTGGGTGGAATGGTTACTCCATAAGGATAAATATATTCCGCAAATCATGTGAAAGAAGACTTTAGAAACTCTCTTTTTCATGTTATTTTGAAAGTTTGTAGCGCGCATGAACTATCTAATTATGTACAGTCGGTGCCGTCACTTATGTATAAACTATTTGTATAGCTAGTACAAATAGTGAATACTTAAGTGAGGGCACCGGCTATACAGTCAGCACCATAATTCGCTGAAAAGCTATTATGGTGCTAGCTAGATAGTGAAGAAAGAACCGGTAAATAAAAGCTTCTCAAAAATTAAGTTTTGTTGAGAACTACGTTAAATAAAAAGGACGATATTATTGGGTCTATTCCCATTTTCCAACCCTTACCACTAGTTACACAATTGGTGTCCATTTGCGCGAAAGCAAACTAAACTTAATTCAAGTTTTCTTGAAGTATACAAGTGTGAGAATGAGTCTATTGTTATTGTTAAGGACAATAAAGGGATTTTTGTTATGAGCAAATTTCATAGTTCTATAAACTTTGTCACAGTTAAAGTAATAATAATAATTCTTTATTGGACATTAAAAATTACAATCCTATACAATATAGAACAGTAATAGAAGGCACAAAGCACAAACGGCACAAATTAACAGTGGACCCCGCACTAAGCTCGAGGCTTGTATCGCGGGACCCAATATAATAGACAACTTATTTTGACTCTTACATGAGCCAATTAGTGCAAACATACATTAGTTACACATGAGTACACGTTCTTAATATAATTTAAGACCATCAACCAATTCGATAGGGCAGTACTAAATCAAAATCTTCGATAGATAGAGTTTATTAATTTTTAATTGTCTATACCTTACATATTAAGCTATAAAACTAAGTGTGTCCTTAATCTACAAAGTCATGAACACATGCATCATAATTTAAAAAAAAACATTGGTGTTGGACAATTATTACTCAAGTCAGCGTCTGTTGCCACACCTGTGGCCCCATTGCCGCAACAGACGCCTTGATCTTTGCTTCACTAATAATATCAAATTAGTGGAGTATTTTCACAATAAACATGAATATCATTGTAGCAAAAACATGATATTAACAAAATAAGTAAAATGTAGTAGTAAATTTATTGTATAATATTAAGTTTATTGAATATCACGATATCATTTTTTGTGAAATTACTAGCTTTTTATAATTATTAATACAAAAATCGGCACTAAGAAAAATTTCATCAATCGGACTGGATTTGAATCAGCGCCATGCCTAATGCTCTCCCAACTGATCAACGGAACGAACCAGCATAGTATGCTGAAGACGCTGATACGAATCCGATTTTTGTATTTATAATTATTTCATATTTTTGTTTTGCTTATGACTTTAGATGCAAATAAATAAATATTACTATATCGAAATTAAGTTGCACTGCCGTGCCCGTACCGATAACGAAACTCCCAGAATTTAAATAAATCTTGTTTGCGTTTAGCCGAATCAACGCCAATGAATTTAAAATTATTACATAAATCCAAATCTAGATATGGTATGCGATGTCAACTGGTCATCGTCACATTGTCCAATTTCCTAGCCAACAATTAAATATCAAACTGAAGAAACTTTGTAAATAACGTTCAGTATTTAATGTACTAAAAATTAAAACTTCAGTGCGTCTACCATGAGATTACAGTGTCAATTAGCGCTAGTAACCGCGTAAAATGTTTATATACAAAATGTTTTTTCTTTTTGTGACCGCTAGTGGCGCTGTATAATTTGCCATACAAAATTGTGAAGGACAACCGTCGCAGTAAACTCGTGGTAGAGGCTCTGATGTTCATTTTACTTACTTAAAAGTAACATTAGGTTATTAAAATACGTACTTGTAGATTTGTAACTTTGCATGCTTCTAAGTTTAATTATATATAAAAAAAATGTGTTCTGTCTTCTGATTTAATTTACTATGGAATGTTAAGTTTCAGTTCAGATTGAAAAGACTTGTATGTAAGCTAATGTAGTATTATAATAATATTTATTTTAGTCCTGCTTTAACACAAATTAAAATTTTTAGTTTTATTACTAATTTTAACTGCAACAGTGGCCGAACGGTTACCATGCTGGGCTGCCACGCACAGGTCCTGGGTGAGAGAAATCTTTAAAAATTTGTCTCGTGTGTTTGGGTGTAATTTGTGGTTGTCTAGGTGTGTATGGATATGGGCGTCCCTAATGCGGGGCTATGAGTGTGTGCTTTAAAAAAATATAGCGACATCTTTGTCAGTTTTCTGATAGCCATTTAGGTACCTGAGTGAAGAAACTTTTGTAACATCTCACAGGTGGCAGCAAAAAAGCCGTTTAAACCCAGCACAAACATCCGCACAGGCACATAAAGAAATTCGTAAGATCTGCTGACTCGGTCTGTAGCTCAGTTGACAGAGCGGTAGTCACATACTTTCTAGTGCGAGGCTAGGAGTGTGTGAAAAAAAAACTTTTAAAAAAACGTGATCGAAATCAGTAATTTTATTTCTAGCCTCAGTTTCCTTAAATGGTTTTACACACAAAACATTATTGTTATTGTATAATTTAAGTCAAGACTTATTTTGTAAGCTTTATTATTAATGATTATAACACTTAATAAATTTACAAATCTTTTATAAAAATAACGCATCGTTAACACCATATTAGCACATTAACTAACATAACCCTAACGGCCTTACAATAATTTCGATTCTGTCGAAATCACCCGACGCGGTTTTGTAACTTCAATCCTATTGTTTACTAATTTTATACTAGCGTCCCTGCAATACCAACTACTTAATATTAATAGCGTTTTCAAAACCTTGTAGAATGAATGTGTCCAGTACAAAATAACCTTTCTCAATGTTTCTCGCATTAAATTTGCGAATACTTCCTGGGATCACGTGGATTTGTTTACTTAAAGACAAATTTACTCCATTTCCATTGGTTTTATTAAATCTTGGGATCGTTTTCTTCCAATTTAACCATCTTTTCCGAAATCTCCCAAAGCTTCTTAGCCTTGTTCATGTCAGAAACGGACGCGGATAAAGTGCTTTCTCTGCAATCCGAGAAGTACTTTCCAGTTACTGTGGACAATTTTTCATCAACAGCCAGCATGACAGTCGTCTGACTACCCTGAACTGGCGTTTTGAAGAATAATTTATTGATCAAAGCCAAGGGCCAGCTCAGAGGAGCAGGAACAGACCGCCAGATTCCGGTATCAACCACTCCTGGATGTAAACAGTTCGCTGTCACTCCAGTACCTTCCAATCTTCTGGCTAACTCTCTGGTGAAAAGTATGTTTGCTTCTTTCGAGGCGTAGTACAAATATCCAGGCAGAGTATTAACCGGGTTCGGGTTGTTCAAGTTGAATGAAGCTAGTCTGTACAACGAAGAAGCGACAACGACAATCCTAGACGGAGCACTCTTTTTTAGCAAATCTATTAACAAATGAGTCAATAGAAATGGACCGTAGTGATTTGTAGCCATGGTCAGTTCTATGTCGTCTTCGGATTTATCCTTTTTGAAAGTCTGAGCGTATCCAGCATTGTGAATAAGGACGTCCAATTGAGTTTCTGTCTTGTTGATATCTTCCGCGAATTTGCGAATTGACGCAAAGGAGCTCAAATCCAGTTTATTGACGAGTACTTTTGTGTTCTTTGTTGTGTCAATGATTTCCTCTGAAATAAAGAAGAACTTTGTGAATTACCTACATGTATACGGTATTTATGAAGTCATTACTGGAACTTCTATGGCGACGTTACACAAGGATTAACCATTTCAATCGTGTGCATAATACCGAAAATCTAATGATGTAAATGTAAATAACACTCCGTATTTGAACAAGAGAACCAATATTTATCAATGTTTATGTCATTACGAGAGACTGGAATGTAGTTAATATATTAGATCAAACAAAATCATCGTTGAATAAGCAACTCGTGGATTAAGAATATTTGGCTCAGTATCTTTAGGACGATAGTTCCAGAAATATAAAAAGCATCCTTACCTCTGACTTTCTCAGCAGCCTCAATATTCCTGCATGCCATAATAACCCTAGCGCCCCTCTTCGCCAGCTCTCTTGCTGTTTCTTTTCCGATCCCACTGGTACATCCAGTAACGATTACAGTTTTCCCGTCCATTCTGGTTTTATTACGAAATCGGCCGCAAGTGTACTGAGCGTAGAGTCTTATGAGGAGAACAACAGCTAACAATCCAAGTATGGCTAGAAGACCAAGGATGAAGATGACCGGGAATACCCAGTAAAGGTAATCCGCCCTCCAGTATTCGGCTACTATCATGTCTGCAATGAGAATACAATTTCGTTAAAGCTTTTTTAAGACATGTGTTCGCACGCTGATTCAAAGTGGGTAACAGACTTGCCGTAGACAATCATTTTTAACCGACTTTAAAAAAGGAGGAGGTTCTCAATTCGATTTTTTTTGTATGTATGTTACGCGTAACTCCGGTATTTGTGAACCGATTTTCATGATTTTTTTTGTTGGAAAGAGGGTACCTCCATTATATATATATTGTCCCATTTAATTTTGAAGAAAATCATCCACCTCTAAGGGTGGCTGTTCACGCATGAAGATTCATTTTTATAAATAGCACCAATATTTATTATAAGGAGCAATTATTTTAATGTTTGATTTTGCTATTCTCCAATTCAAGGCGTTTTTCTATCTTCAATATACTTTGAGTAGTGAGAACCGTTTTTTATTATCTCCTGTGTCAAGTCCCGTATAGTGCCGAACTAGGGGATGAATCCGGGTTTGCTCACTTTCCGGTAACCGATTTCAATAAAATTTGGTAATTATATGTAATTCCACGTACTTTTAAGGTCGGTTTTTTTAGTACTCTGTACTGAGATTATTCCGACACACATTTGCAAAATATATTGCTAATAAATACGAGTATTCTTTACTGTCTAAAGTAATTTATTCGACTAGTCAAATGTAATTACCTCATTATGCCGTCTATTTGTTACCTTTAATTATATTCAATAATATTTCGCGCTATTCATGAACAGCAAAAAATTTTCTCTTCACTTTCCAAAGAAAGTTTTGCTATAAAACCTGAAGCCTTTGCGAAGGCGTGGGCGTTTCGCTAGACCCTTATTCAATCATTACCCTACTTTAAGTTCCTTTGTTAACTAGCTATTAGACATTTAAATATCAATTTCTTAATGTTTTTAAGTACATAATTTAGAAGTTAACTTCTCGTGTTAAAAAAAGTTTAAATTGTGGTTTTGTTCGTTAAATAGAATAATTCGACTCATCCGTAGAACAAAGATCTATGTGTAAAACAACTTGTTCTCAGGACATTTCGTTCGTTCTTCTTCGCTGTGGATGTCCGATCGACTGTCGTTCGATTGCAATAAATAAATAAATTGGATCTATGACAAGAGATGACAATTCATAGAGCGAAAGTGATAGGAACTTGAGTAAACTTCCAGATAGCCCTCCCATACCTAACTAGTGTTATGTGCTAGTAATATATTACCAGCGTAGGAAACGCGTAGGTATACGGTTTTGCACTTTACCTAAAGCTTGAGCTGCAGCTCATGTAGAAAACTTTTTTATTAATAGACCTTCTTGTGAAAGAGTTTGTCCAGGGAAGTACTGTCTACCTTACTTATTTCTGCCGCCAAGCAGTATTGTGAGCATTACTGCGTTTCGGTTTTGAAGGCAACAGGTGAAAATGTAGTAATGTAGGTGCGTATGGGACTTGCCAACTTATGTCTCAAGCCGACAAGCGCAGTGGCGGTACTCCTCAGATCTTTGTGATTTAAAATTTTAAGAGGGATCAGAGGAAAAATTCCTAATATTCGATTTGATTTTAGAGGGGTAAATCCACTTTAAAGTTAAAAATAAAATATTGTATGAGTAACTACACGATATATTCGAGCATAGACATTAATCAGAAACATAAAACCATTGACTTACAATGTCAATGCATAAAACAATAAAGTTTCCTCGATAGATAAAAATCACGAAATGACATGTAATTTCCACATTTTTCGATTTATCCTCGAAATGCTACATGTCATTAGGATAAAAATTAGATAATTAATTATATTTATGCATAATCGACAACTGTCACTACGGATTTTTTTATATCCCTTTAGTTTTAGAGTTATTGCGCTGAAACGAATTTGGTACTTTTAATGCGCAAAATTCAACATCTGTCGCATGTCACGCGAACTTCAGGCATATATTTGTTTCACAAATTCGGGCGGAGCCAACGTCAAAACTTTTTTGGCATGCTCCCTCTTAAGTTCATTGAGAATTACTGCAACTGTTATGGATAAGCCTCCCACCAGGCGCACGACTTGTCCGTCCCGTTACTTGGTATTTTGTAAAAAATTATACCTAATCGTACCTATATAAAAAGGTAGGCATTCGGTTGGTGCTGAATTATCGCTTTTAGAGTTAGATTTAGCAGTACAGGATACGTCGGAGAGTGCTACCTAATTTAATTGTATAATTCCGCCGCTTTCTACAATCGGGCGACTAGCCGTAGTCTGGGCTTCCACCCCTATGTTGTAGATACACCTACATTCGCACGAAGCGTTACGCTTCCGTATTTATATGGAGCACGAAATTATAGTGGAATTTCCTGCCCGCGGACTTGTTCCCCGAACGTTACAACTTGGATATTTTCTAGGCGATAGTGCGTAGACTGTTTAGGTGTGCAAGCTCCGATGTTATTTTTCATAAGGAGAGTTGGAGGTCAAAAAAAAAATTCGCACGGCCTATTGTTACCTACAACAAAAAATATTAGTGAGGAGATAGACGTTATCCATTAGTTTGAGGATAATTAAGAATAGGTACCATTAAAAAGGCCACGTCAAATTATAAAAAATAGACGAGCGTGTTATACTATAAAACTTGAGTGGCATTATATGTAGACAACAGACGGAAAGAAAGTGTAATACAGTCCATTTTGTATTTTAAACACAAAGACGTAAATTATGTAGAAAAATGCTGTGTTGATTTCTAATACGGGCAATTAACTATGGGAACTGTTTCCTATTGTTTCCACTATAGTTTAGGTGAACTATGTGCAAATAATTTTCATCATGAAAATATTTCCTATCAATCTAAAAACATTTATTTATTAAAAAATAGACACAAAGAAAACTTAAATAGAGGTTGCCAACGGAGTAGTAAAGATCAGCTTTGATTTTTAATTAAAAAATGTCAAAAAAAAGTTATTAATTTAAACATGGCGGCGCAACAAAAAAAGAAGAAAGTATCAACGATAAAACTAGACTTGAAGTCATGTCTGTGATGAATTTTATTCAATAGAAGTTTCAAATCACTATATACACTGTATATATTTAATTTTAGTAGGTAGGTAAGTGATTTGAATCCATTTTGAATCCAACATAAAAAATACCAGTAATTGTAAAATTGTGAGATACCAATGTTTTTTTTTTATTTGAAGGAACAGATACAACAATAAAATAAATATAAAACATACCTATTTAAATAGTAATTTCAGAATATGGGCAGAGCTAGCCTAAATAATCATTGTTAAAAAATGTTTTTTTTCCATAGGTAATAAATAACATAAAAAAAAAACAAAAAAGAAACACTATATTGCATTTCTTGTGCAGTGAATAAAGGCGTGAGACATTTTAGACTCGACGCAGAGGTAATAGGTAATAGCGAGACGTTCTTCATGTCGAAATAGTATAGGTACCTACTTACGTTGTGTATTCTATCAACGTGAGTATATATTTACGTACACAAGTAACATATTTACTCATTTACACTATATCAACCAGTATATATCACCTTCTGTCGGGCGCAAAGTTCTTCTAAAGCCACAATATTGTATTTTACGTGAATAGTTTTTATTTTAGGAAGTAAATGGTCAAAATAAATGGCCTCCCACGTGTTTTTTTACGATATACCTACAAACTTAGTCGATCTTTCTCAAATGATGAACCGAAGGTGCAGTGAAGATTAATTTATTTTAACAGAAAATACCTGCATATTAAAAAATGTTGACGAACTCTATAAAGATAGGCGAAATCTTTATCTCCGACCCAATCGGGCTTAGAGACAGGGTTTTTTAAAGAAAAAGTAAAAAAATGTTGACGAACTCTACAAAGATAGGTGAAATCACTGTCTCCGACCCAATCAGGTCTGGGAAAGGTTTTTAAAAGAAAACGGTAAAAATTAAACAATAAATATCTTCATAATGACATGACCCGTGTCTTGCAGTGGAGCGTATACGGACGTATACGCATACGTATACTTAAAACTGTACGGTTATTAATAAACGTCTATAAAGCCATTCACACTACAAAGTTAGTATAAAACTCACATAGACACAAAGGAACCCAAATTATTATGCCACTAACGATTTAAAACCGGAACACGAAAACGATGTGCGCCTGCGCAGTGCTAAGACTGACTACTGATTTATTTGACTATTAGAATGAGCAAAGAAGATTAAGTACATAATTGAGGTTACCTACTTCATTAATTAACATTTTATCGATTGTTCGCAACTATTTTATTTTTTTGTTGTTGTTTATGTATTAGTTTTAAGTACATGTGTTGTACAGTTTATCGGATACTACTGACACTACCTTTCATAATAATATTCTCAAAAAACATTGACAGTTTGTTACGGGAATATTTACTTTATAATCTTGTGTTTGAGATCCAGCACGAATTGCGTCACTGGAATCTTTTTGAATCATAGCCATTTGAGTTTGTGTAAATTATCACTACTTTAACTGTGAAGAAAAACATTGTGTGGAAACCTTTGTCCCAAATAAAAATAGGTTAGTATACTTAGTCCTTAATTATCAATACATCGTTCTTCTTAAAGGTGGAGTACTACGAGTACCAGAGTAACGGAATTCATTCTGGGGTTACATCCCGGAACACCCAGATCAGAACCTATTTAGAAAAGTTCATTTCCATATTAAATTGGTCCAACAATGTAAACCGTTAGGCCACCGCCGAGGTGGTCACTGTAATTTGCAGGTAATATTTTAAATATCTGGTATAACGTAGGGCACTCAATAAGTTTTGAGATGCTCGAAATTTAAAAATGGAACGCACCCGTATTACATGTCTTTAAAAATAAATTTAATTAAAAATAGATCACCAAAAGCAATTTAGCTAAATTAAAAAAAAATGACATTGTTAGTCATTTTACTACAACGCTTCCCGCGCTTTTTCTTTGCAATAATGGATCTTAACCGTGAACATTTGCGTGCTATGATCTTCTATAATTTTAAATATGGTTTAACTCTGACTATGGTTTAACTTTGACTCTGCTCCTTCTCGTGCAACAGTTTTTAGGTGGTTTAAGGAATTTAAAAGAGGCAAAACTAACCTTGAAGATGACCTAAGAGGCGGACGCCCGGAAACAGCAGTTACTGTAGAAAATATGTGGACATCTGAAATGTTGGTGCGAGAAGACCCACGAAACACGTACACGAACATTGAGACGATCCTAGGCATTAGTTCGGGGAGCGTCAATACTATCCTGCATCAACATCTTGGAGGGAGGAAGCTTTGTTGTCGATAGATCCCACGATTGTTCTCCGGTAGTGAAAAACAGGCTCGTGTGGATTGGTGCCGAGAAATGCTTATACGTTTCGAAAACGGGACATCGAGACGTGTTTCAGAAATCGTTACTGGTGATGAAACATGGATCTATCAATATGATCCAGAAAGCAAGAAGCAGTCGTCGGTGTGGGTCTTCGCAGAGGGACAATTACCGACAAAGTTGCAAAGACCTCGAAACGTCGGCAAAAAATGATAGCTAGTTTTTTTCTCGGAGCGGACATTTGTCGACGTCGACGAATGTTAGAAAATAGTAGGTCTGTTAATTTAGAATGGTACACAACAGTAGCATTGCCAAAAGTTTTCCAAGCTGTGCGGGTGAGGAGACCAAAGACCGGGCTTCGGGGAATCATGCTGCATCACGATAACGCCTCTTCACATACGTCCCTCAGAACAAAGGCGTTTATTGAGGAATCTGGTATTATACCTTAAATCACCCGCCATACAGCCCTGACTTGGCTACCTGCGATTTCTTTTTGTTCCCCAACAGTGAAGGAAAAATCAAAGGGAAATTTTTTTGAGTGTCGAAGAAGCAGTGGCTGCCTACGAAATGGCAATTTCAATGCTGACGGATAAAGACTGGCAAAAGTGTTTTCAGAGTTGGTTTAGACGAATGAAACTTTGTGTAGATAATGATGGAGAGTATTTTGAAAAAATGTAAAATAAATTATATTAATATGTTTGATATTTTTTCATTATCTCAAAACTTATTGATAAGTTTACAAATAATGTTTGTTTTATAATACTAAGTGATAGGACGAACAAGTCGTGTGCCTGGTGGTAAGCGTCACGCCTGTCCGTAACAGTTGAAGTGCCGTTGAGACATACGTTGAAAAGTCTCATGTGCCCGTAATTTCACCAGCAACTTTACCCTTCAAATCTGGAACGCAGTAATGCGAGCATTACTGCTTGGCGGCAGAATTAGATGAGGTGGCAGTACTTCCCTGGACGAATTCTTTCACAAGGAGTTCTACTGCTACGAAATGTGTTTTGTAATTGATATTTTAAAGGTTTTAATAATGTATTTGTAATTGATATTTCAAACACTTTCGTGGTGTCCGATACTGGTAATATCACGAAAGTATTTTGTATTTCGTATTTTAAATAACTAACTAACAAAATATTGTTGTACTCGTTTTACGGCTTGAGATTACCTATCAGAAGACAGAAAATACATTTGCCCGAAATAACGTTAGCTCGAATTTTCATAATGTCAAATGTATTTTTTTAGGAATATTACAAAACAAAAGCTAATTTTGTCTTTTTAAAAAGCATCAAATTAAATTAAATTACCCGAAAGAGTAACGGTTTTATTATAAAGCGGTTTTCGGAATTACGGATATTTGAGTTTACGTTTAGTTAGAATATCGGTACATTTCTTATAGTACACGCTTATTTTCACATTTGTAGTAATATTTGTATGTATGTATCTGCTCAACTATTTATTATTATCTTTAAGTGAATTTGTACAAAATTCGACATAATAATATATATAAACAATAATTAATATTTACGAGAAAGGCTACTCCATTACTCTTGTGTTCAAGTAATTTTTAGTCGAAACTAAATATGGTGCATTTTGTTAAGTTTCTAGTAGAAGCTGAATATGGTGTTTTTGGGCCCTTAAATTGTTGCAAGCCAAATTAGGCAGTACTGCAATGACGTTACAATTTAAATTAAATGTTTTAGTTTTTTATATTTCGTCACATGTCACTACGTTTGTATAGGTTAACTTCGGACATTTTTTTCGTGGGTTTTTGTATTAGACCCGATGTTCATTTGTTGGTAGGTCAATGAGCGGGCCTCACGAATTTTTCTATGTGTTATTTGTCGTGCCATTGTATTGGGTTTTTTCAACGACTTTTTAGCCGTAGCGCCATCTATGAGAAATCTTAAGTATTTCGTCACCCAGTTAGATACCTTTACAGCTACCAGCCCTGGCTAGAGATGTCGCTATTCATTATATTTAATAAATGTTATTTAATTATATGTTGTAAGAAAATAGTAATCATTATTAGTAATTTGTAGAGACATTTATATTTGTAATTTAATTAACAATTTGTAGTGCTCTCCTGAATAGCGGCGCCCTTGCAGGTTGTCACATGTGTGACTACTGTGTTATATTTTATAACACTTTATGTGAAACCATGTGGCAAGCAATAAAGATATGAATATATACATTTTAATATAGATAGAGTATGTATTTTGTCCAGCCCCGAGTAGATTGTTATCTTCCGTGAGTACCTATAGCAGGATAGAGATTCCAGCAGGATAGTCGCCTGTGTATTAAATTGCAACTTCACTCCGTAAGTGTAACCTCTGCTAAGGGCGCGACTATGGTAGTTTTCCGTTTTACCCGACGTGTTGTGTTTGGAGGATGTTTTTTCAGGAGTACATCATGTTACATTTTTGTTAAACGTTTCACGTCTTGAGCTATAGTTCCTATTAAATTCGTTATGTCAATACATTGACTTACAAATAAATGGACGACGGGTCTAATACAAAAACCACGAAAAAAATGTCCCAAGTCAACCTATTCGAAATTTAAATTGTAATGTCATCGCAGTATCGCGCTGTCAGTAGAACAAATGAAGACTAAAGCGGAGTGTCGCGCTCTGTATACGATTTTAGCGCCTTAAAAGTGCGGACACTTTTTAGCGCGGACCCGACGTCCATATAATTGTAAGTCAATGTGTCAATAAGTCATTTCCATACAAGATAATTTCAGTGTTGAGTTGTACCTTGTGATTTATAATTTATGCTGTGTTATTGGTCTCTCATATTACTATAAATAAAAGTAATTACAAAGCTATAAAATTAAAAAGGAAAACAATTAAAAAAAACTAAATTAAAAACAAAACTACAAAACAAATACGCCCCCGAAAAATCTTTGTCGACCGAGATGCGAACCGCATACGGTGTGCTCAAGTCAGAGTTTGATCATCATTATTAAAATTTTAAACAGATAGACATTACCACACGCAAAATAGGCGCCTTGTCGTCGAGTTGCGGACACCAGCCCGTTACACCAAGTACCAAGTAAGTACCAGATAGACATTATTATAATAATTATTGCAATGCTACTATAAAAGTGTTTTAACTCAAAATATGTAAAATTCAATATTATATCATTAATGCGCATAAAAATTTGATTCTCTACACGTCAATAAAACCGTCGAATGAATATGGTAAGAAACAATTAAAAGATACTTACTTACATACTTTATGTAAGCTGGCTAAACAGTACTTATTATTCTAAAACATGAAGTAATTTTTTCCCTTTATGTTTAAATATATTTTGCAAGTACGAAATTGTTTAGATGTCTGTAATAAACTTTAACCTATGCTTAAATTTCAATGATCTTTCACTTAAAGTGAGTAATTAGTTTTTTATCAATTCAGAAAAAAAAACACTTTTTGAGTTAATACACTATTGTATTAACAGTGCGCTATGCTTTGCGAAGAATGTTCGCGTTTGTAAGTTGAGTAAGAAGATCGTATGTCTTACTCAGTTTCGGTAGTTCGTGTTGATGTGTATCACGTGGAATCACTGTTAAGTACTTACCAATTGGTTTTTTTTTAAGTTGTATATTGGGAAACTACTGAACAATTCATTGTTACTTATACAAGTAAAAATATTTGACCATAAATTGTCTTCTAAGTAATTCACATGGTGGTTTCCATATAGTTATTAGTAATCGTATACCTATCTCTACCCATAATAGAAACCGCAACGGCAAACAAATCTACGGTGTTTGATTAAACAAAGGTTACTCATCTTGGTAAGTAAAGTTGTTGATTCAATCATATAGCTGTTCGATCAACCTTGTATGGTTTAAAATTACATCATTATTCTTGCGACTTAGACGTGTAGGTATTGTACGTATTTTTATAATTACAATTCATCATTAACCAAAATGGAACTTAGTTTGATTTTATCGTATGGAAATATTTGTTTATTAGATTGAAGTAGAATTACACTTTTAATTTAAATCTTTTAAAATCTTTTAAAAAAAAGTGAAATAATATTGTTAAATAATATTTTTGACCTCTATCCCACCTGACGAAAAGTGATGATGACGTCGAAGATGCACACCTAATTAATGCCTATTCACTCTATTATTTGGGACAAAAGTTTACACACAATGTTTTTCTTAAAAAAAATGTGCAGGCATCTATATATTATATTATGTATTAAAGCATACATACCTACGTAGGTATTTTTGAACCTAAGAACGCCGTTACTCTTACCGTTATCATATCAACCCTAAAAGTCCACCGCTGCACGTGGGCCTCTCTTTGCGTTTGCCATAGAAGTCATAACTTTAATCTATGTAATAGGTAACAAGAATGTTATTAACAATTCGTCAGATTAGGTACCGGAAACAGATATATTATTTTCTGATTATTATACCACCAACCATTATGACGTCATTAAATATGAAGTCACAACGTTTACTTAATTAAACACTTAATTAATTAATGGCCAATTTTGCGTAAAAAGCTTATCTACAGTGCTGTATAGGATGCAATATAATAATGCGTATAATGGCAGTTTTTTGTAATTAGTGGCAGTAGAGATTCTTGTGTAGAGTTCGTCCTGGAAAGTAGTAATGTGAGCATTCCTGCGTTCCGGTTTGGAACGTTAAGAGTGCTGGTGAAATTTCAGGCACAAGAGACTTGTCAACTTATGTCTCAGAGTGACGGGCGCAGTGACAGTGTCCCTAAGATCTTTGCGACTTAAACTTCTGAGTGGCACTGCAACTATCATGGATAGGCGTGTCGCTTACCACCAGGCGCACGACTTTTCCGTCCCGTCACTTGGTATTATAAAATAAATATCTGTAAATTTTATTTCATTAATATTCTGTTTAGCATGCGCTCCGTGACGTACCCTTTTGGGCCGGAGCTTAGCGGTCTTTATGG